AAATCGCTCCAGAATGCATTCCGGAAATTTTTTAACAAACGCCATTCTGTTCCGGAATGTATTCCGGAACCGAATTTTCATTCCGGAATGCATTCCATGCGCACCCTTACAGGCCTGACAGACAAATTAACCTCTCGAAATATTTGTAGTCAACAATACATAAGCTCTCCATCGATTCTAAAACACCGAGAAATTAAACTACAATTAGCTCTATGCAAGAAGACACCTCGCTTCTATCGGTTTACTCAAAACTTGATGTAATGAATAATCTCTCGAGGAGTTTACGAAAATGCCCTGCCCGTTTTATGGAAAATGACACGCGAAACGCATGTGCTCGCAGGTCGACAAAGATACGAGCAGGGGGTGAATTGCTCGCCTACTTCATGGACTTCTTTGAGACAAACACCTTTCTTATAACAAGATGGGCTGAGGTCTGTCCAGCCTAATTTTATTCAGGAAAGGCCTTTTTGTTACAGAAAAAGAAAGCAAATAAAGCAGAACAAACAGTGATGATCTATGAATTGAAAGAAGGCGCACCTTTTCCAATAGAGGATCCCCTGTTTCTGTTTCACAGTCAAAAAGTTGTTTCAATTTTAGAGTCCGACCATTGTGTTCGTCCATTCAAAATCTTCCCTCTATAAGACTCCCAAGTGATGCCTGAACTATTTGGACCAGTGTCAAGTAAATCCCCACAATCCCTCATTAGTATCTGGCACTTCTTTGGTATTTTTGAGCTTGATGCATCAATAATCCTTTCCATTAATATGCACCTATAAATTTTCAACTGCTCCAAATGCTCTAATTCATCCATGCCCTCGACAACCTGCAGGCTCTTGCACCCTTTAATTTCTAAACACTTCAAATTCTTCAAATTTGACAACCCGCCTAACCTTTTTAACAAAGTGCACTCTTGTACAACAAATTCTTTCAATGCTTCCAACGTTGAAATAAATTCAATCTCCTATATGTCTGGGCACCTCCACAGCTGGAGTTTTTGAAGCATTATTAGGGAGCTTGAGACAAGGGACACTCTCCTCCAATCATCAGTCAACTCGGGAGCTTGTAGCTCATTGCACCCTGGCTCCTCCAATAGACAAACGAACCTCTCGAAAGATTTGCATCCACTAATAGATAAGCTCTCCATTGATTTTAAGATACCGAGAAATTGAACTTCAACAAGCTGGTTGCAAGAATCCACATCCGTTTCTCTCAGTTTTCTCAAACTTGATAGAATGGATATTCTTGTGACGAGTTCACACCTTGTGATAGTCAACTTTTCCAATTGAGAAAGCCCATTGAGTTCTACTTGTTTCACTCGAGTGTTATCAAGCTCTAGAACTCTCAAGTTTGACGGAAGTTGTTTCAGCGTTTGCAAGTCTAGTCCAGAGAGACTTAAGTTTTTCCAGCAGAGAAAGGGAACCCCACTCTGTTGACGTTGCGTGGACATTTAAAAGGCACAAGTGCTGCTTCCTCAGTTTGGATAGCCTCCCAATCCACAGCAAGTCACAACGAATTATATTTGATGTTTTATAAATATCAGAGACATCGGAGAGGAGCAGTTCAACTAAATTAGTAAGGTTTGAGAGGTCAGGGACAATCAGCAATGATTCAGATCTAACCCATAGAGTGGTCAAACTTCTGGGGAGCTCCGGCAACTCTTGGATCTCATCACAGCCATATAGGTCCAGTGTATGGAGCTGACTAAGCTTGCTTGTTGTCCCAGGCAATTTCACTATGTTTGTGTATGATACATTGAGAGATGACAGGCTTCGTAGTCTACCAATAGACTCCGGTAATCTTGTAATGCTTGTGAATGATACATCCAGTTCAGTCAACGACTCTAATTTCGAAACCGAGTCGGGGAGTTCCCTCAAGCTGTAACATTTCGAAAGAGAGAGGTGCTGAAGGTTCTTTAGTTCGCCAATTTGTTCAGGCAATTTTTCAAGTGCATCACAACAATCAACGCGCAAGTCAGTCAGCGGCCTCAGATTCCCAATAGAGCAATCAATTTCCTTCAGAAGTCCGCAAGAAAAAATAGTCAACTTCTCTAAAACGGAGTGTTCGACAAAGGTTGGCGTCCAGTGTAACGACTGAGCATATTGAAGAGTGAGAACCTTCAATTTCCTTGCCCCCTACAAAAGCCAACAAAACATCAAGACAGAGAATTAGATGTTTGTACGAGAAATAAATATGGATTTAGGCTCCCAATTTGTATCGTTTGTCATTTGATCCTCTCACTATATGAGAAAATCAGACTGTAAATTCATTAAATTTTGTCCTGCATTGAATGAGAAAATTAGACTAAGGGAGATTCTAACGTACCTTGATTAGGCTCCTGACCGCATCTTCCGTCCACTCTACGCCAACAATATACATCACAACCACGTTTTCTAGATGCAAATCGGTTGCCATAAACTGTGGATCACGTACATTATAGTAATGCAAATTGATCCATTTCAACTCGGAAAGACAGCCCGTAAAGTTGCCTTGGCAGGTTACATTACACAACCAAAGACATCTTAGGTGTGGGAACCGTTTAATTTGCTCCGCAGTAACAGTCATCCGAGCTAGACTCCATGACTTTAAATCAAGTGCTTGAACGCTTTTGTTGATCTGCCAATGACATTGAGGAGCAGGAGCAGGAATTTGTCAATATCCCTCAAATTTATTTCGTCGAAGAGAAGAAAAAAATGAAACATAAGACTAGCTCTCTATTCAGAAACGTCAAACCTCATTTAAGAACAAGGTAAGCAATTTTCAATTCAAATTTGGCCATACTTTACCTCTGTTGATCTTAATTCGCGAATGATATCGTCTCTAGCCCGCAACCTGCTATGCTCTTGATTAGCAATTGCCCTTCCAAGATCTCTGAACTGATCATGCATCCAAAATCTATTATTGTCTAAAACCTTTACCAAGCATCTGTTAATAAGGACATCAATAGCATCCTCTGGGTCAAACCCACAATCTTCCCACATGTAGATTGGATCAGTCTTTTCCTCATCGATAAAAAAAGCATGCAACATCGAGAAATATCTGTTGTTGACCAGGTTTTAAGGTATCATATGTAATCCTTAGCTTTCCCAAGACATCATCATGAGGTGTTTTCCTTAGCTTCTCTAGCCTCTCTTCCCATATTTTTTTATTTTTCTGACCAAAAAGCGATGAACCTATTGCTTCAAGAGCTAGAGGTAGTCCACCCACAGTAGACACAATGCCTCTTGAAAGAGTGTAGTAATTGGTTGGAGGAGAGTCATCATCGAAGGCATGCCTACTAAAAAGTTGAAGTGCGTGTTTGTCACTCAAGCCCTCCAATTCATAACGCTCGAATTTATACTTAAATCCCCTGATTATATTCAGAACCCCATTGTTCCTAGTGGTAACAAGTATCCTAGTACCATGATACAAAGAATTCATTCCAATTAAGGTTCGGATTTGGTTGTGTCATCGACATCATCCAAAACAATTAGTACCTTCTTGTTGCGAATTGTTTCTTCAATCGCTTTGATCCCATCATCATTGTTAACAATGTTGCGAGGCACTCTAGAATTAGAGATATCGGACAATAATTGTTCTTGCAGCTTGACTAAGCCCTTGGTTTTTGCCATTTCCCTTACGTCACCAAGAAAGCTGCAGCTTTTCCCAAAGCGAGGACATAGTTGGTTGTAGATTTTTTGGGCAAGTGTTGTTTTACCCATGCCGGCCATCCCATAAATTCCAATAAGCCGCACATCACCGGAGTCGATGTCCAATAAATTATTTATGGCTGCTATTCGATCCTCCATTCCGACTAAATTTTCGGTCACTTTTCTTTGTCTTGTCTAGAGCCTATTCACAACCTCGTTAACAACCGTCTTGCTTAGATGCCCATCACTGCCACAAAGTTGAACAGTTCCGATCGAGAAAAAGTAATTAATTCATATCTTGCATGTTGACCAACTGTATACTAAGTCAACTAATTTCAATCTAAGTATCTTAAACATTGTTCCCATGGAAACGTTAAAATTATGGACGAATAACATAATCGTAATATATTGTTGTTATGTTATGTGATCGACAATTCTTGCGCAAAAACAATTTAAAAGAACAGAAACGGAGTATATAAATGAGTGGTTCTGATTCAAATATCTAACAAGCGACGGAGCCAGGAATCTAATATTGATACTTTATTATTGCATCTAAGAAAGAACCACCACGTAAGAGACCAATATAAAATAAGTGGAAGAAAAAGCCTTTTTATTTTTTACCGAAATAAAACTATTTAACAGCATTTAATTTTGGGAGTTCATTTTTTTTTTAAATATACATCGTGTTCAAGGTCGACACTAAAAGTTTACAACTGCATTATTAATTCACTTAAAACAAGAAAAATTAATTTCCATCAAGTGTCTTGAGTTATATCTATATACACACCTATGCTCTCGTGAGAGTTTAACCTGGTAATTTACTATTCATAGTCAATCTATCTAGTAGGCATATGGGATATCACATGTCAATATGTATGGATAAATGTCTTTATGATTATGCGGCAACTATTTCTTCTATTTTTTGGGTGGGTCGGGCTGCAGCAACTAGAATTTATCCAAAGAAAAAGGACTCGAATTAGTTGGACTAAAGACTCGATAAAAGTTCAACGTTACCCTCAAAACTTGAGGAACATGATGGACTACAAACTTGAAAATCCATTACAAGTTTACGTTGAAAAAATAGAGGAAAAGAAATGTTTGATCTTTGAATCAAGTAGAAGAATCAAAATATGAATGTGTGGCTAGTCACAAATGCAACTGCATACAGGTTCATATCAAGTTCTCTAACATACGTTTGGAATCCTAGCACATACATGGATCAAAAGTTAGTAGCAAAAAGATTAAGTAAAGCCAAATTTTTATACAGTGGAAATTAGGTCCACAATGAAATTCTAATAATCCTATTAGGTCAGAAAAATATTTGGCTATGTCGTGATTAAGAAAAAATAAAAGGAGAATTTGAGACTTTCTAGTTAAATCCAGGGAAATTGGGGGTAGGAATATAATTAATGAATTTTTATTAGATGTATGGTCCAATTGTAAAAAATAAATTTCACATTCACGATCAGATGGTTACCCTGAATATTTCTCCCGCTCCCACCCCTTGGTGTCATCAACTTCGCAAAGAGCATGCCGCCACATCTCTACTTCCTCTGTGCTGAACTTCTTCTTTCTCGGACCAGAAAACCACCACTTCTTTTGATCCTCCTTCCGTTGCTCCAACTTCGATATGGCATTTTTGTACAACTCCGTTTTTAACTTGACATCATCAGGTTTCACGTCATAAAAGATAGATAACATCAACTTCTTATTATCATCTTTAGATTTAGATGTGTTCTCCACCATCTTCGTAAGCTCGCGGAGGCACCAATGACTGGAAGCGTAGTTTGGGGAGAAGATGGGTATGTAGAGCCTAGAGTCGTCGATCGCTCGCAGAAGGTTGCCACTAATTATTTCGCCCGGTTGAAGCTCTTCATCATCGATGAAAACGTGAACACCAGCATCTTTTAAGGCATGGTAGAGGACGTTGGTGAATCCACGACGAGTATCGAGCCCTCTGAAACTCAAGAACACTTGGTACTCACCTCCTAATGTGATGCCGGTGCTCGTCCCTATCTCTGAGTTCGCCATAGGAGATCACTTCGCAATTAGCGTGGTCAGCGCCTCCTCTCTCTCTCTCTGTCTCTCTATGGCTGCGTTTGGTTCAGCATTTTGAAGGAGCTTTTAGGAAAATGCAAAGCAGCTTAGCCTAAAGGGCTTTGGGGAAATGCAAAGACCGTTTGGTAAACTTTGCTTTGAAAAGCAACTTTAAGAGAAAAGCTGTTTGGTGAAAACACATTTGGAAAGTCCATTTGGGTGATTAATTTAAAGTTTTAATTTTTAATTGGGTTAAAATTGAAAAAAAAAGGTCTGCAACTTTTTTAATTCAAATATCGACAATAATGTTAAAAGATATCGTGTCAATAATTTTATTTAAAAAATAAAATTTATTCTTTTTGCTAAAAAATTCAAATGGAAAATTCACATCAAAGTGGTCTCTTTCTTAATTTAAAAAGCATTACAATAATCATGATAACATATGCCCCGACGAAAGAAATTCATTATCCTTAAAAATTACAAACATTGTTAAATATTTCCTAAACTTATAGCTATTTGATCACGTAAACGTGCCATGTCAGAAGCTAAGTCATCATTTGAGGCTAAAGAACAGAGAGACGGGTCTGCAATTCAATAAACTCGCTTGAGTGTTAACTAAACCATCCAAAAGATTCAGAGAACTTGATAACAAGGTAGCCACAAAGTTCACCTCAGGACATTCCTGCTTTCTTTACCATCAGCTTTGGCAATCTTTATGGTTTTGGAATAGGCACTTTTGAAGAAGTGTTAACCTTCGAATCAATAATCTCACTAGCACACTCATTAGCCTTTCCAAAGGAGTCCAGCACAAGGATTGCTGACATCTTTTATCTTTCTATCATCTTTCTACTTTGATTAGTAGTGTAGATTAAGAGCAGCTAATCAAGCTTAGAATTTACGTTTGGCTCAACCAATTTTCACTAATCTTCCCATGAAACAACTCACTGAGAGTACTTTTGCTCTGCCCCCAATTTTAGACTTAATGAGTGGTGCAGAACTGAAGTTCCTCCCTTGTGCAACAAATATCATTCCTCCGATCACTTTCCATTTACCAAGAAAGAAGAAACAAACAGAGGCAATAAAAACAGGTTTCACAAATAATCACTCGAAAACCTCTCTTTTTGTGCCTTCACAGCCCTAATAAAAAACAAGGCGAAAAATAACACAAAAACAAGATGAATGAGAGATTGAACCTGCAGGGGAGCGTGGTCGAGCGAGGGAGTGCCGTCGAGCAGGCGTGCTGTCGAGCGAGAGAGAAAACGCAAAGGAGAGGGAGCGTGGTCGATCAAGCGTGGAAGCAGGAGGAGCGACAAGCGCCGAGCGAGCGCAAGCCTATAAGATAACGCGTGGGAGCAGGAAGGGCGCTGTCGAGCGAGCGCGGTCGATCAAGCACCGATTGAGCGCCGTCGAGCGAAAGAGAAAACGCAAAAGGAGAGGGAGCAGAGATGTGAGAAAGCGTTGGGTCTAGAGCAACAAAGGGAAGAGACGGGGTTGCAGATCTAGGGTTTTGTTTTTAAAAAAGGGTAAACTTGGATTTTTAGTAAATTTTTGAGGACAAAAAAGGAACTCAGCAAAACTTCATTAAACAAAGGTTTCAGCATTCCGAAAATGCTGAAAGCTCAATGCTAGTAGGTACTAGCATTGAGCTTTCAGCATTCCCAAGGCCAACTTTCACCCCAAAGCTCCTTGGGAAATGGTTACCAAACACCCCACATTTTCTCCAAAGGGCTTTCAGGTCTCAAGGGGCTTTCAAAATGCTCAACCAAACGCACCCTATGTCTCTCTCTCTAGTAGGCACTGTTGAAGTAAGTTTTCATCTAGCGTATCATACTGGGTATAAGCAATTTCGCACGAAGCCGAAGATGTTCAGCCAATCTCGAATACAAGCCGGTGACTTTAAAATTGAAGTATCGTCGAAGACTTTTAAAGACTTGTCAGAGGACCGTTGAGATACAGTTAATTTCACAAAGACTCGAGATGTGGGCCAGCTACCAATCGATTCGGGAAATTAAAAATTGACTTAGCTGACCAATAGATTCAAAGAGTTTTGGGATATTCTGATCTAATCTGGAGTCCATAAGATCGGTTCAGACATCAACAACAATGGTAATACAGTATTTCTAACTTGGAGAGAAGTGGCCTTATTATAAAAATTATGAAACATTTACTTCCCATCATGAACAGGACATGCTATGGCGACGTCAAAATTTATTGTTAGAAAATTGTTACACTTCAACTTTAAATATGACCCATTTGCCATCAAATTGGATTTGCCTCATTCTCTGCAAAAAATGCTCCACCTGAGCGCTCCCTCAGCATATATTTACCATTTACCATGGAGTATTTGTTTTGATCTCTTCGCCTTTATGACTTGCCTTATGTTAATAAGCAAAAAAAATTGCGCAAATCTTTTGCAACCGTTATTTCTTTATTGATAATTATTAGGAGGTGAGCACGGTACAGATGGTGCAATTTGGATGTCAAACCAAACCAAACTACATAAGTACGATTTGAAGAAAAATAAAATCAATTAAATCGTATTATAGTCAAGAACCAACCAAGCCAAACCATTTTTTGGGGATTTATTCGGTTTAGTCGTTCTTTCTTCTTTCATCTTTTTCTCTTTATCTATTGTAATTCCATTGAAAAAAAAAAACAAATTCTACACTCACAACAGCTCATAAATTCACACAAAAACGGTCTGGTTTGATTTTTTTAACCGTTTTACTCTTAAACGGAGCTCAACCGCAATAAACTGTTTGGGATTTGATTTGGTTTGGCGGTTAAACCATTTTTTACCCACCCCTGATAACCATTTGTTTTAGGATAAAATAGCTCTATATTCGAATGCTATTTGTATATTAAAAAGTGTCGGATCGTATCATCCAGAAAATCCTATATTTATTACGTCTATATGCTATATGCTTATATCTTTTGGAGTTGGTCTTATAGTGCTGGATATGGAAGCTTGGTCTTATATCTGTTGGGTAGTTTGGCGTGAATGCAGTGGAAGGAACACGAGAATAATGATAAGCAAAGCACTTTGTAAACAATACAAAGGACACTATTACAATATGTTAACTCTCATCTTACAAGATACCTCTGTTACTCTCACGATGGACAAACAAATTTGAACAAAATGATCTTACAATACGTACTGTCTATCTTGACCTCTGTCTCTCTAAAATTGTTGTTCTTTCGGAACACCGGAGTTTAACAAGACAAGCATAATATGACTTCTCATTTATAGGGTAATAAATTGACTTTGAGGACCCGATCATCTACCCCACCCTTACCTTAATTGACATTTCAATTGGACAACAAATCTAACTAAAGTCCGTTGCATATATGCATGGTCCCGCGGAAGATGAGGCCGTCTTAACATCCCATTTTAGTGTGCCTCGAACCATTATATGCACTTTACCTCCGTTGCTCAAGTCCGTAAGCTTGTCCCACTGATTTTTTAGTGCTTGTTCCTATTTTATCACTCATAAAAAACCCGAACATTGTGGCACAGTGCGGTTCTGGTCATTTAAAAATTCCCCTTTCTAGTTTGTACTTAATCACCCACCCTGTTTGACTTGGCCAACACACACAACCAAGCTTAAAAAAGCAAAGCATATACACCTTGAGTATACATTTTGTTTTCACATTTACTAAATCCTAAATACTATATACTCACATATATTCAAGTAGGTGTTGAAGTTTAATAAATAGACGTGATCCATTATATCCATAAGAGTAGCTTTAACTCAGGTTATGACATTGTAAAATATGGTGAAATCATTGACTAATATTCAAATCCGAGTAGGTAACTTTATAAAATAACGTTCTTGTATATGTCAATCATCAATCAAGTCTGGCAAAACACAAAATCATCACGTCATGTTGCATTGTCAAATTGACAACTAACATTAAGAAACCGTACTTGATTGATATACCAACATTCACCACATTAAGATACCAACTACAACTAATCAGTCACCTATTAACTATAGTCTTGCTTGATTTTTGAAAAGTACCAACAACTTTTCTATTTTACTTCCAAGATTACTAACCACTTTAATAATCATCAACGTATATTCTTGTGGCTTATCAACACTTTTGAAGTTATTAATTTTTATTGAAAATTAACTACCTTAATTAGACCTACGTACAAACATTCGTCATGTCAATTACCAACTAAATTTAGTCACCAACCAACCGTTTATCTTCTTTGATTTTGAAAAGTATCAACTTTTCCAGAGAAATTTTGTAGGATCATCCATCAATTTTTTTTGAAAGTTTCAGCTAGCTAGCTGTTAGATGAATAAGGCCCGATTCGCTCCATATTTGAAATGCGCATTCACTCGCTTGACTCAATTCAAGAGCGTCAAGTTTCATGTTATCTGCTCAACTATAATTTTATTAGAGATGGCAACATGCCCCAAATCAATTGACCTCTTATTTTTCAACACGTAAAGCAAATTGAACCTAATAGCTCGCTGGTAGAGCGTCAGCCTAATTCCAACGTTTCAAAGAAATGAGGGAGCAACATAGAAAGTGATAAAAGGAGCAGCTGGGATTAATGAACAATGTGAAGTGGCCTTATTGTTTGAAACAATTTGCAAACATATATGCCCTTTCCAATCATACAAGGAAGGTCACTTCTTCACTTTCCCTGCCAGTATAAAGGCTTTCTAGACCACATTCCTCACCAGCTTTGTACCACCCCAAACCCTCTCAAACTCCCTAGCAACCCCCTCACTCAACATCTCCACTCCCCGTTCTTTTGCCGTCGCCACCGTGGACCACAACCTCAAGATCCCCAGGATTCCCTCGAAAGAAACCTCCTTTGGTATGTCAAGGGCCATTGGGTTCCCCTCGGATCCCAAACCGACGCTCTCGAAAGGGAACGGCAATGTCTTGTAATGGTCGAACAAGTGCCTGATGTTAGAATTTCAGTACGGAAGCGTCGTGTTGAGGAAATTTTTCACTATCGGATCAAAGATAGGGCCGACCTGGATGGCTTGATAGCCCCAAACTGCAATCATGACCCCGACTTGCGAAGGACACGGTTTACAAGGGAGTAGAATTTGGGGAGGTCGAACCAATGTATGGCTTCAGCCACAGTGCTTAGGTTGACAGAGTTCTCGCCACCGATCATGGCTAACAGTTCGTCGTCTGAGATGGATAGCGGAGTGTGGATGTATCGAACATGGGGATCCGGGATGGCATGATTTAGCTGCGACTCGCTCATGTCCGTGGCAATCACTTGCTGATAATATTCCACAACCTACATTTGGCAAGGGAAATGATGCAAAGGAAACATGTGGCTAAGAGACAACACTAATTTGGATTCCGGGGCATATCAAGTTCGATTTTACCAGCATGGAAAATTATTGTTTTCTTAGAACAGAATGGTATAATCGTCTGCATATAGTAAGGACGCATATGATAATCATTATATTTCTCTATTTTTTTGTTTTGCTGTTCTTAGAAACAAGTTTGGAACAGAATTCGATTTTGGTGATACAATTTCATTTTTTTTATTTCTGAAACAAATTTTGTTTCCAAAAATAGATTTGGAATAGAAATGAGAAGTAAAATTTTTTCTACTTTTCTATTTTTGGAACAAAAATGAGAAATAAAAACTCTTTTCATCGCTTGCCCTTACTACTAGCCAGCTGCCCACCCGTCGTCCACCGTCCGCCGGCCGCCTCTCGCCTCCCGCCAATATCGACCGTTCACCCCGGTCGTTGTCTGCCGTCCTCTGTCACCGATCGATGCCAGCTGCCTCCCACCATCGGCCAGTGCCCGTCGGCCGCCTCCTACCACCATCCACTGCCATCAGCCATAGGTCGTTGTCTGTTGTCCTCCGCCGCCAGTCGCCATCCTCCACCGCTGGCCGCCTCCCGTTGCCGTCCTTTGCCAACCACCTGAGAGGAAGAAATTTTGTGTCGTTATCGAATGAATTTCTATTTCGAGAACAGAAATTTTGTTTCGTTATCAAACGCTTTTTTGCACAGAAACTCGTCCAGGGGATTTATAGTTCAAGGCTCGACTCGCGACTGTTCACGAACCGGACAGAAACCGCTCGGCTCGCGACTGTTCACGAACCGAACGGAAACCACTTCGGTTCGAGCGAGTCTTCATTGCTCGCAACTCTTCATTTCGCCACATAAATAACCGAACTGTTCTGTTCGGTCGAGACTCTTCGTGGCATTTTTATTTTCCCGCGAGACTTTTTTCCTGACACTCTCTACACATTTTTTCATTTGTTTCTGTACGGCATTCTGCTGCATTTTCTTCATCATTGTGCGATTATTCTGCGAAGTTGCGTTCGAATATTTCCTTTGAAGAAGTACCGCTTCTTTGAAAAGGCAATCCGTTCTATCCTGGGAGACAATTGTTTAACAACCTTGGATACCGGTATAGGGGACAAATTGTCTTAAGGACACAACGTGAATTCGTTGGGCTCGGATCATTCGTTGACATTCGGATTACTCGTCATAACATGATTTCAGGTTTGTCGAACAACTTTGTTTTGCATATACAAGCACTATTACGTCACAACATGGGACTCATTTTAATCCTAGACACTCTGTCCACATTCCTCTGATCGGACCCTTCAAACGATGTCCTAGGCGAAATCTTCAACCTGCTGTTCCGTGATGTTGCTGGTTTCTTATTCAATGCCAAGAAAGATGGGAAAAACATCTTGATCAGGAAAGTTCCTGTTTCGAGGCTATTACATCTTGACACCTGATGCTGATGACTAGGGGTCCTCGTGACTTTCTTCCTCTTCTTCCTCTTCTGGTTTTTATTTGACTCTGCCTCAGCACTGGGAAACTGAAATTTTTCCTCTTCCTCCTCTTGATTCTCCTGCAAAGCAATCCACGTTTAATTATTTGTCTTCCAGTTCTAAAACATCATTTCCTTAGTGTTTCCCCAGATTGGTTTCAAGGCATATACAACAGATGAAGAGCACTTATAAAGCACATCGGTATGTTACTATGTTATGTCAACTGTGTGATTACAGTTATGAGATCAGATTTCATGATTGAACAAGAAGCGAACCAAACCAAACTGAATCGAACCGAGTCCACTAATACCTGCAAAGGTAGCTGGTTATCCACAATATCTTTGAGGGAAAGCTCGTAACTCGACTCAGGCAAGTTCCGGATCATCTCCATCATTTCTCTTCTTCCTTCTTCGATCCTGCGAGTCCTTGTTGAAGGAGAGAGATTGCTGTAGTGGTGATCTTTGGCAATACTTACCGACATTTTTTCGCGCTTCCACAGAGTTGGCGAGTCAGGATCACAGTTTCTGCTGTGGTGGTTTCTCGTTTTACTCGGAACCCAGAAATCAAACTCAAGATCTCTGCTTTTCTCATGAGTGTTGTGGGATTAGGGAGTGAAAGAGAAGTGGTGGTTCTAATGAAAACGTGGCTTGAGAGAGAGAGAGAGAGAGAGAGAATTTAGGGCTGTTGGAGAGTGATGTTCATGGGAAATAGGACGTGCGTGTCATGAGTGGTGTTAATGCAACGAAAGTTGTTGGCCATCAAAGATGAGAGGTCGACTAATAAGTGTATTGAAAGTCTTAAAATTTATTACGAAAATATAATTGAGTCCTCAAATTTTTAAAAAGTGTAATAAAAAAACTAAAACTTATCACGAAAATGCAATCGAGTCCTAAAACTTTTAAAAAATGCAATCAATTATTAAAATATGTCAAATTGGTCCAATCAAGTCATTCCATCAATTGCATTTTTTGAAAGTTTTAGGACTCGATTGCACTTTTCTGACAAGATTTAAGACTTGATTACACATTTTAAAAGTTTTAGAATTTAATTGCGCTTTGTTAACAAGTTTTAGGATTTCTAGTGCACTTATCCTGCTTCAAATAAGCACTCCTCTTTCTCCGTTTGTCCGATTCACACAGTTTTTAGTCACTACTACACATTTAAATTTATTATGTGAACACGTCATCAATTTACGTAATCAGCTTACTAAATTGAATTACGTAATGGTATCAAGAAAGTACTCTAGATGAATATGTTGTTTTTTTTTCTTCTTTTTGAGAATTTCTACACAGAAGTGGTTTTGTTTTCTTATTTATTTCTTTTCCTTTAATTGCTTCGGCATAAAATCAGTAAAGGGGCAGCATTATCATACCTCTTTTAGCTCTCTCCTTCTGTCTTTCTCTTCACATTTCCTTAAGCATTGGAGAGTCCTTAAATTCAGAACACGTCTTTTGTCTGTAGCGTGCAGGTCCGGCACATAAAACAACATTCTCATCCACCCAATTCAATCATCATATATGATATGCGCAATGCGTTCAGCAATTTTACGTTTCCTTTCACAACATCATTGCGATCATTGCCGGAAAAATTTCTGCGATTGGGGATCGTGGATGTGGATCTCAGGTTTGTAGGCCCAAAATCAACTACGTACATGGCTATATGTCCTAGCAACAAACAAGGCCACAACTTAACTGTCCTTTTGCCATCTAGAGTCTATTTGGGCCAACATACTTCTCATTGGCGTTCAAACCCATTTGGGCCACAGAATTGAGCAAATCCATCGAACCAGAGGAATAGTCAAAACCGCACCACAGGCTCGATTTCCAATAATTCGACAAAAGAAAAAAGATCAATAACATGCGGTTCATCCGGTCATTTCGCTAGGGTATTTGGTTTTTCAGTTTTCTGGCAGCCACATTTTTGTTTGTATCAGTCACAATCAGCATCCATAGTTGACATTGTTCTTTGTCTGATCTTATCCTATCCTATAATTATTTCACAAGCCACCGTATGTGCTATGTACTATGCATAAATTGCGAAACACTTTTCCCCCACTCACGCATCGCCATCCCAACCTCTCGAGAAAGTGGGAAATCAATTTCCTCACCTTCTTCTTCCCAAATGGGAAGGGTGGCTGCCGGGGCAATTCGAGTGGTTCATAGTTGACACTTGAGTATAGACAAAAGCACCAAAAACCATCACATTGACACGCATCGATCATTTCAATTTCAATTTGGTGCTAAATACGTAACCTACAGATGTAGAAATGTCATGTTGGAGGACTTATTTTTTTATGGAGGAAGACGAGGGGATCAATCATTTCGCTTGAATTAATTAGTCAGTAAAAAATATTTTCATTATCGATGTTTATGTTTAAATACATTCATGGACGATAAAAGTACTTTTAATTCATGAATGAATGAATGACATAAAAAAAAAAAAAGCGAAAGTATTTACACTTTTTATTTGATCGATAGCTTACTTGTACAAGACAAGAGAATGGCATAAAAATGTAGAAAAGAGAAACAAAACATAAACATGGTATATATGGATTAGCCTATACACTGTGGAGACAAATTTTGAATGAGATCACAGAACAACCGACGATAAACACGGAGCCATTTTCCAACTCGAAGCTATTGCACAAGCAGAACGCAACACAGAACTCAGAAACAGAAGGCAACAACATATCCACATTATATATAGCCATCAAGGATGATTTTTTTGGCGATCCCAGCGTGTGAGCGAAGACGAGAGAGGTGCCTTTCGATTTTACGTGGGAATGTAGGCCGCGTTGCGGCTGAGAGGAGAGCTGAAGATTTTACCGCCAAGGGCTTTGAAGCTTCGGACCAAACAAACGAACATGAGATGCTTTATGCCTCCGCGCCTGGGAGGAAGAAGAAGCAGCTCTCGTCTCTTCACTGCTAATTCCTTCTCTTTCACAACTTCCCGCATGAGAGCCATCGCACTTCCTTTGCCGTGCTTTTTAGAGAGAGAGGAGGCTTGGTCTTGCTTGGAAGTGGGAGAGATTAGGGTGTCAGAACCGAACCGGAAAACCGAACCGAGATACGAACCGAACCGAACCGAACCAAAAATTTCGTGCATTTCGGTTCGGTTTTGGTTTCGGTTCGGATCATCAAAATTAACCATTTTTTTTGGGTTCGGATTATTTCAGTTCGGTTCGGATCAGTTCGGATCGAACCGAATTGAAATAGGCACTCTTCCTCTCGCCGAGACCATCCCCATTCCTCACGGCCCTCCAGACTCTTCCTCTCGCCGCCATCCCTGCTCTTCTTCTTCTTCCTCCCCATCGACTCACTCGAGTCCCAAGCCTCGACCTTGCCATTGCCGCCCCTGCCGCCGCTGCCGCCACCGCCGCCGCTGTTGCCGGTGACGACACTCATCTCTCTCGAACCCTAAACGCGGAAAACCCCCCAAATTATCAAACCCCACGAGGAGGCCGAGGAACCCCACCGCCCCCACTCCAGTTCGGAACCGCGAGGATCACAACCGCCGGCCCTCGAGAGCGTCGAGCTTGTCGCCGCTAGCGTGGGGCACCCGGAGCGTCGCGCAGCCGACCACAGAGTAGTGAACCCAACCGAACCGAACCGAACCGGGGGAGGGAGAGCTGAGATCACGAGATTCAGATTACGTCTCTCTCAAAGCAAGAAGCCTCCAACAATTTGTCCAAGATTCGGCTCCTACAGGTCACCTCTCTCCCTCTCTCTCTCTGCTTCTCGATTTTCCTGCTGATTGTTTTCCCTCTGATGGGTGTAATTGCTCTTCCCTTTTTCGCTTTTGAATTCCGTTTGCCGCTGATTGTATTTGCATGATGATCGATGGGATCGGCGTGGATTTCTGTTTCTTGGCAAAGTGGGGGCCGTTCTTCTGTATGCATTTTCTCACTGTAGGGATTTGAGAGGCGCGGAGAAGGTGTTTGTCGAAATGGCCGAGAGGGACGTCATTTCGTGGAATACTGTTATTGGAGTCTTTTCGGTGAATGGTTTGTATGAGGAGGCGTTTGTGTTTTTCAACAACATGAATTCGAGGTCTGGTACGAGGCCTAATACGCTGAGCGTTATTAGTGTTTTGTCGGTATGCGCCGGGCTCGAGGATGAAGTCATGGCGTCTCAGATTCATGCTTACACGGTCAAGGTTGGGTTGGTTACAAATGTGAGTGTTGGGAACGCGTTGGTGGATGCATATGCAAAGTGTGGGAATGCAGTGGCTTCGAGGCATTTCTTTGACGAGATGGTTGAGAAGAATGTAGTTTCGTGGAATGCGATCATAACGGGCTTTGCTTATGGGGAGCGCAATGTAGATGCTTTTGATCATAGATGTTTTTTATTAGCTTTATTGCTTTATTATAATCATGGCTTTCATACTTCATTTCCTCTGAGATTGCAAATGATTCAATAGATGTCTCTTGGTTCCAATAATGTTGGATAATGAACCAACAAGCGTGTAGAAGCTTGTAGTTGTTTGGTAAGATAAATGGTCTCTTTGTTAACCTGTACCAGGGCATCGAGAAGAAAACTGTGAAGTTGCAAGGAAGCGAGAAGGCAGTTGTTGCATGCCATGAAGCTGGTCATGCAGTGGTAGGCACTGCTGTAGCAAATCTGCTTCCTGGATAGCCACGGGTTGAGGTATGTTCTAGCTATGACTTAGCTAGTCCTGGTTTTTTTGTCAAGGCCTTTGCTGTCATGAAAATTGCATGGTTATATCATATAACTTATATGTGGTGCCTAAGAATTTGATTGTACTGCATATGCAGTGGGTTTTCTTTCTTAATATTGTTCAGTTTTTTCAAGCGAAGTTTTTAGGGAAAATTTGAAATGACGATTTTCAGAATGGAGTTATAATTCCTAGCTTATTTTTAATGGAATTGCAGTATTTGCCTTACCCAATATTTTGAGATCATGTTTTGCTAGTCACTAATGGGTTATATAGGCTGTATGTTTCTGTTTTTGCCCTTCGCCTTATCTTTTTTCTTTTCTTTATGGTACTTTAATGGCCACCCCTTCTATTAAGTGTTTGCTTGTCATACAAAGTTTGTTAACTTGACACAGCCACTTGAATTATAATAATTTCAGGTTTTAATTGTCATAGATTGGTAGATGTCTACTTCAATGAGTGAATCTAGTGGCACAAATAGGAGGAGGACAAGATCTTCTGCGTGGGAACACTATAAAAGGACAGAAAACCCAGACAAAGCTGAATGTTTATATTGCAGGGCTATTATTGGTTGTTCTACCTCTCAAGGGACTAGTGTGATGCATAATCATTTAGGTAGATGTAACGAATTTCCATATGCGAACGTTGAGAAAAGGCAAAAAAGTGTCTCGAGTCAACTTGATGGGGTTGGTAGTTCTAGGTCATTTGGCCCATGGAAATTTGACCAAGAAACTAGTCGAAAAGACCTAGCAACGATGTTCATCATTGGTGAATTACCCTTTAAGTTTGTGAAAAATGAGGCATTTCGGCAATTCGTGAGTAGGATCCAGCCGAAGTTTTCAATCCCCTCAAGGAACACATTGAGGGAGGACTGTTATAAGTTTTACTTGGAGGAAAGATGCAAATTGAAAAAATATTTTTTCGATACATCTCAAAGGGTTTGTCTCACAACGGACACGTGG